CATCCTTCCCTCCCTTCACCACCCTCCCTCATCCCCCCTCCCTTCACCCCTCTCCTCATCCCCCTCCCTCATCCCTTCCTTCCTCCCCCTTCTCTCACACACACCCTCTCTCACCCCCCATCCCTCACCCCCTCTCCTTCCTTCCCCTCCTTCCTTCCTCCCTCCCTTCCTTCCCCCTTCCCTTCCTTCCCCCACCTCCCTTCCTTCCCCCCCTCATCCTCCCTTCCCCACCCTCCCTCATCCCCCCTCCCTTCACTACCCTCCCTCACCCCCACCTCTCTCACCCCCTCCCTCATCTCTTCCCCCTCCTTCCTTCCTCCCTCATCTCTTCCCCCTCCCTACCTTCCTCCCCCCCCTCCTCCCGCGCCTCCCCCAGGTCCAACAAGCCCGCGACAACTTCTACGCCGCCTACAACTACCTCGCCGAACTGGCCCACGTGGCCCCCGACGACCCCCCTCCCGCCCCTGCCGCCTCCTCCCACGCCCCCGTCTCCGTCGCCTCGCCCATCACCACCCCGAAGGCCGCCCCGCCCATCGCCTTCCCCATAACCACGACGCCCGTGCCCTTCCCCCCCGGATACCAGTTCGGCGGACTCACCCCCGACGTCGCCCTCGCCACGGCCGACTTCTTCAAGGAGTACAACGCCGCCGCCGCCAGAGCCGCTCCTGTCGCCGGCTAGAGGGCGCTGAGAGAGAGAGAGAGAGAGAGAGAGGAGGGAAAGTGAGTGAGAGAGATAGAGAGGGGGAGGGAAAGTGAGTGAGTGAGAGAGAGAGGGAGGGAGGGAAAGTGACTGAGAGAGAGAGAGAGAGGGGAGGGAAAGTGAGTGAGAGTGAGAGAGAGGAGGAGGTGAGTGAGTGAGAGAGAGAGGGAGTGACTGAGAGAGAGGGAGAGAGTTGAGTGAGAGTGAGAGAGAGGAGGAGGGAAAGTGAGTGAGTGAGAGAGAGAGGGAGGGAGGGAAAGTGACTGAGAGAGAGGGAGAGAGTTTCCTTTTGTTTCTATTTTACGAACAGAGCTTTCTTTTCTGGTTGAATATCGAGGCGGTTTCACTGTGTCGAGCTGCCGTTATTCTCTCCCTTACATAATGTTTCTTTCTTTTTCGGGAATAGATTTAATCACATAGTTTCAGCTGCACAGCCGCCACGACCACCAATGCAGAAATTAATAGAGAAATACGTGCACACGCTCACCATTATTATTTTTATTTTTTTCTATCTAACAAATAAACGCACTGATTCTTTTTATTGTCATTCTCTTTTCGTTTTCACATTCGCAAAGAAATAGACGAACTGGATGCTACTCTCTTTGAAATATTGATCAATTTTGCTTGATTTATTGGCGTTTCTGAAGTTTTATTGTCTTTCTGATCTCGCATGGTCATTAGCAATGTAGCTGGTCATTTGCATATTTCTTGATCCAAATAAATGTGCTTTTCTCTCGACTTCAATGTCTTTATTCCCACTTTCCTTGTGTTTTGATGTCCGCAGAGACTGGTCAGCCAGAATTGCCCTATAACCATGTTTGAACTCTAATCTACTTTAAAAAATAATAACCCTGAAACACGTACTTATCTCTCATCTAATTCATTACGAATGTATTAAGAAGAATATTTGTTCAGAATTCACTTAAGAAGCTAAAAAAAAAATAATAATAAGTTTTGTGCAGCAGCGCCCTTGTCTTCAAGATTGTGTTTAGATCAGAAGTAAAACAAACCAACAGAATATCACATTTTATAGGAAAATAAAAAAAAACATACATTACATAGGGTAACAGCGATTCAGATTTCAAATGTTTATTTAGCCACATAATAATGGTTATAATCTGAAGCTGGATTGGCTGAGCCTTCGAGGATCGATTAGACTGTCTTGAATGAGAAATTGGAATCATGATTGTGATATCGTAGTGATACATGTAACTGCAATGGCTATAATCAATGGTTTGAAATGCATAACCGGAATAAAAATATCAATGAAGTTAAATAATGACAATATAAAGTATATGGCAAGCTTACAAACAGTGTAGGGGCACAATTGCAAGGGGTACAAAGTGCATTGCATCGAAACATAGAATATGTTAAAAAGGCTAGATTGCTAAAGCAGTGCATGCACACATATCCTCATACAAGAGAGAAGAAAGTCACAGATATGTTATGATACTGAGCATTCCATACATGTTGGAATGAGAGAGCTATCTATGCTTACACACAAGCATACACGCAATTATTCATCCTTACTATACGTGTGGAGAATTTAGACTTTAGAGTTGTGGTGATAGAGTGATAATAATTATTTTAGAAGATATTTGAATATTTCACTTCTGTTCTCTGGTAGCAAAGAGTCTAGTAAACTGTTCCATGTTTGGGCTCCAGCAAAGATTATAAAATGTTTGGGATTGGTTGAAGCAGCCCTGTGGGAGCTGTAAATAACTGGTGTTCCTGAAATAGGCCTGTGGGTGACCATTGCTTTATCCTGGTTGAATAAGTATTTATAAACATATAAGGCACTGCAGTATTGGGTGATTTCATTGAGTTTTAAAAAGCTAGATTTCAAGAAATAACTGTTTGTGTAGTCATGCCAGCTGTAGGTGTGCCATTGATCTGATCATTTTCTTTGGTTCCGTTTTGTGGCACCTCTCCGTGGACAGCGTGGCAGTATGTGAGTTGTGGATAAATTAATGAGTAATAGAACAATACACATTTATGAGTGAGAAAATCCCGAATTAGATGTAAAATGCCACACTTTTACCGATTTTCTTTCTTGTATGTGTATTGATTTTAAAATAACTCATCCTGTTTATTACGATTCTCTCTCTTTTTTCTTTCCTTTCTCCTCTTTTTTGGTCGAATTATTTTTCGTATCCCCATACTCTCACATTCTCCCCCTTCTCGACGTCTCTCTCTACATTCCAATCCTCTTATTCTCATCCTATCTCTACTCTCAGGCATCTTGTCAGTCTGGGTATCGGAGAGTCGATCATGACTTCGAGTATCAGATTCACGTGCAGTCTAGAGAGGAGTCATGAGTCATAGATGAGAGTCTAGCATGATGAGAGAGAGATACGACCATGAGACGCAGAAGAGAGTACGTAGTAGTAGAGGAATGAGAGAAGTGAAGAAGAGAGGAAGTGAGAGTAAGAGACGTAACGCGGAAAGTAGTGTTATGAGAGAGAAGAAGAGAGATAAAGATATGAGAGGACGAGAGAGAGAGAGATACAGTACTTGAATTGGATTATGGTCAATAAATTTAAATTAGAAAATCGCGAGGGAATCATGTGGGAATCTACGGCAAATGAATCATGCAGCCTCCATATTAATTCTCCCGGACACTCACTGTTTGATAAAATTTCAGATTGCCCCTGGCGACAATTGAGGCATTGGGGCAATATAAATCAGAGCATACTTGAGAATTTATAACATACAACAAATTCGATGAATACCAGCACTCATTACTACCATAACAATAGCAGCATACAACTCAAGCCTCCCGGGCATCGCACGCCAGCCAGTGTTGACACATATCTGTTGGCATTTCTCTGAGAGGGTTGTTCGGTTAAAGCGCTCATGTGTATTCCAAACTACTCTCTACAATAAAAATAATAGTAAAAAATAAAAAAAAAAGAATAATAACATAAATGTTCTTTTTATTTATTATTATTTTCACATTTTCTTCGGCTTTTAGCCTCGTATCATCGTAAACAAAGAGTCTCTACTCGCAACAGAAGCAGCGGTGCGCTCTCAGATCCCAGAGAGAGTACAATTCTGCACTAGGACACTAAGATCAGTACCAGTGCAAAAATGGTGCCATCGAAGTCTGCTAGCAGCACCTGGGCATTGACGTTAAACATAAGCCATCTTTCCTAACATTCTTGGATACATCGTAAGTCTTTTGAAGCCACTCTCCAATATGGGACCGCTAAAAATTAACCCCAATCTGCAGTGCATAATAGATATTTAGTGTTGTTGTTGATAATAATTATTCGGCTTTTTTATATAATGTCTCTCTATGAAGTAAGCCTCACGCGAGAAAGCACACTCGAGTTAATCGATCCACATGACCTATTTCCACGTGTTATGAACCACACCCCGAAGCGTCCAATACCACTCATTTAATAATCCTACCATTGATGATAAGCAGTCGCGCACATAATATGTGCGCACTAGCTTCAGACAACACTATTCGTCCTATCTAGCAATATAGTTATTCTACATACTTTAGAAGAGTGTTATGCACCAAATCAATTTGGCACAGTCGATATACCGCACTTTAGAGGTGCTCTATCCTCTTCAGCTACTCAGGAGGACAAGGAATATGTGTGTGAAATGGAGATATATACTACGTCGAGAATGTAAATCTACAATACTAAAAGGCGTAAATCACTGTGATCATATCTTCCTCTTAGCAAGTTCTTCATCGATACCTTCTACAGTATATATTTCTGCACTACACAACGTTTATAGGCCAAAGTAGAAGTAACGATGTTGCTTTGTGTTTATCTTTTGCGTGATAACACCGCGCTTTGGATGTAGTGATGAGACATAGGCGAAACTAGTCTCAAGCACGAATTTTTCTGGTCCATTATCAAAGCACTCAGCTCTCGCGAACCTCTTGTCAGTGGGGGGAGAATAAACAATGTATCCTGGGTTACTCACGCCCTGGTTGAAGTAGACGATACGAAACGAAGTGCACCTATATTCTTGTCTCGACTCTCTCATGTGTTCGGGCGCGCGGAGGGTGGAGGGGGATATATGTTCCCTAGCCATGAACAAATAATTGGATTATTCTTGTGGACTCTTTAAGACCGAATAAATACTCGCAGATTTCGCTTCAAAATGACATGTGAGTAGAAAAATAGCGAGAGGAAGTCAAAGGGTAGGGAGAGCGAAAGATAGTAAAGGGGATAGGACAAAGGGAATAGGTGTCCCAATAAAATTAGTACACGAAGACAACAGTGTACGCCCCATTGCCTCCTGTCTCCAAGTCCCTAGCAAGTGCTATTGGGCGAACTGTCAATTTTGTAACTTACCCTTTGCTTGTTCAAGATCATAATAAGTAAACCTTGTATTTAATATCTGGAGTGCCTAATCTAACTTTCTATTGTAGTATTTGTCATTTATCCGGTTTTTACTTGCATTTCTACACCCCATCATTGGTATCCTCACGTCCTCTGCTCTCCTTCTTCAACCCTTTTACCCCTCTCTCGCCCTTCCTCGGTCTCCCTCCTCATCCTCCCAGCCTCTTCCTCTCCTCGCCCCCCCTACCCTCCTTCCCTCTCATGTGATCATATGCATATGCATGGATGCGATGCTCCTAGCATGACCGGATACCAGTTGATCTTACTATCAAAAAAAAAAAAAAAAAAAAAAAAAAAAAAAAAAAAAAAAAAATATTATATAATATATATATATATATATATATATATATATATATATATATATATATATATACACATATATATATATACATATATATATAAGAGAGAGAGAGAGAGATGTATATATCTGCATATGCATACATATAATATATATATATATATATATATATATATATATATATATATATATATATATAATTATATACATATATATATATATGTGTGTGTGTGTGTGTGTGTGTGTGTGTGTGTGTGTGTGTGTGTGTGTGTGTGTGTGTGTGTGTGTGTGTGTGTGTGTGTTGTGTGTATGTGTATGTGTATGTATGTGTGTGTGTGTGTATGTAAATGTATATACATTATATACATGCATATATATATATAT